TCTGATTTTCTCGAACGCTGGCCGTGAAGCCGCCTAACAAAGAAGTGTAGAAAGCCATGCGTAATGGATGGAGACAACTAAACTTGAGGAGTATAAACGCCATCACTTTTGTTACCAAATCGGTGTATGCTTGCTTACTGGAGTTATTAGGTGCCCCGATCGCGAACACGACATTCATTTTTAGCCCTGGGGCCATTTGGCGCCATTAGGCACCGACTGGACGCCACACTTTTTTCATCCAAATCGATAAAATAGCATAATAGGGTTGTATGATGCCCTGATCGGCATTGGCATTCATTTTTCAACACCGGCCCCACTTAGCGCTCTGGTAAGGCTGAGCTAAGAAGAAGGAGTGATTCCCTTTAGGACAGGCTCAAGGCTCAGCTGAATCTGCTCCTTTAGTAAAAAGTCGGTGAAAAACTGGCCTGTTTTCGGAAGACTGGGGTAATAACAACAGTTGAATAGTGCCGGCGAATTTTGGTAGCAAATGAACCAGAGGAAGAGTCAAGCCCTCTCAATTCTAGGCTGAAAGGCCAGACGAAGAAGAGCCGGACGCAAGACCAGGACAGATGGACAAATTGCTCACGATAAACGATCAGAGAAGAGTAGGTACTGACGCGCAGAAGGAGGAGGAAGGAGCCAAGTATGCCGCAAATGAATAATCGCGGCACATTTCAAAATTTTTGCTATGTGGAAAAGAGACAAATTCAACTGTAAGTGGTGTTTTTGATCCGTCAACCTTGATCGGTCGCCTATCATATTATCAGTTTTGTAGGGAGAAGCAATGACATTTGGCGGTGTTGCCAAACACAGTATTCAAAGATCACATCGCTCATCGAGGCCCACACAAGTCAACAGTTTTCCACCTACTAATGGTTGAACCGTGTCCATCACCTAAGGAGGATACTAGGCGATCTAGCTGAGACAATTATCATCAACCTCCACCATTGTCTCGACTGGACGACTTGGGGTCTACCATTAGTGGTTCGCAAGTGCGATCAGGAACCTAAATTATCATCCTGAAGATGCAAAGGGCGTTGCTACCTGCTGAGTTGGAGGTTGCATTTATTGTGGGATATTTCTGTTAAGAGCCACTGCCATACTGCTGCTTATGCTGCAGAGAGACACGGAGACAACTGCAAAGAGTATGGCACCGTAATGCTGCAACTGCCATTTAAATCTTGATTTGGTCGAAAATGCAACATACGCCTGGAAAAAAGAGACATTGCCATAATTATTCCCTTCTTGCGCTAGTTTAAGATTGGTCAAGAATGAACAAACAAGCATAAGGCAGAAAGCAAACGAGTTCCCTATATGCCTTCAATTCTGAGGAAAAAGTCACCTAGCCAAAAATCGATGGTAAACGAACGGGTTGAACTTCAATTGGCAAACAGAGCTATCGCGCTCAACAATTTGTCAGCTGATCTGAAGATAAACATATCGATTCCGTTCAAAGTCGAAAGGTTTCAACGGTTTCTCATCTGAGAATCAACATGCTTCGGGAATGAAGCTTAGAAGACCATTAAGTTGTAGAATTAAAGCTATTTGGCACGTTGATGACGTTGATGCGTTTTTAGGGCTCCCGCTATGATCCACCGATGATTCATAATTTTCCTCGTGGGCTTTTTTGGTCCTGTGAATCTACTGGAAAGTACTGGGCAATCTTGCGCGAAATGCCTTCCCTACTATTCCACATCACGTTGTCGCAAGCGTCGCCCTTCCAGCAGCGTCCCCTTTTCATCGCGGTCATGGTTTGTCGACATTCGTTTTATAAAAACAGCTCCTGTGCCTATTTTTCACATACACACTAAATGAAAAGGAATATACCGACAGACCCGAAATCACTTTCCAGAAGAGATTCAGATCGGCAGCGTACAATCTCAGCTAGCAAGTAAGGCTCTCGCTCGTAATTGGGACGAACCTCGTCGTTTTTTTTTGTTTTGGTTTTTTATTTGCACCGCTTCTGGAAGTGGGCGGGACTTAAACGAAGCGGGCGGAGCTCCTCACAATGGTCACGAGTTGCAGCCTGAAAAGGAAAAAACTCGAAGAGTAGATTAAAACCTTACAAAAAGCCACAAAACTGTGCGCGGCTAAAAGGGCTTATCATTAGTGTGTCAGTATATAAATGCGTGTATATGCGTACATTTGTCTTCTGAAGGATAGATGTGAAAAGAGCGGCGTTGAAAAACCATCACAATTCGAATCAAACTTGCAAGATTTTTGAGAAAAAAAATGGTGGAGACGTGGTGTGTGTCGGTATCAAACCTCTTCAGTTAGGGTGTATATGCGAAAGACCAAAAGAGTCACTGAAGCATACTGTGT